GGGGTGGGGTATTTTGAAGCCAGACACTTTCCCCCTGGGAAGTCCATAACAGTAGAGGATTCATATTGTTCAAACTGGGACATTTTTATGCTGCTGGTATTGTGTACTTTGGGATGTTTTCACGCTGTTATTTGAGCCCTTTGTATAATTACAGTAGCTATGTTATCCGACGTGACTAGGCATTAGTTACAATGGCAGAGAACAAGGAGTGAATATTCAGTCTAGGTATAGTGTGGCCTTGGGGGCAATTTAATTAATGACTTTGCTCTGATCCATTTCTGCAAAGCTCACAAGATTGGTGTCAAGAACACACGGGGACAGGGTCTGCTGCGTGGGCCGATGGCCTGCCAAAGGGGGCTGCAGGGTACATAACGGACTGCCATGCCCACCTCAGAGGAGCCGGTCACACACGGTGGCTCGTTGTTAGGCGGGTGGGTAAGGGATCATACAGTGGGAACAGAAGACACAGCCTAGGCCGCGCCTAGGTCCCCCTCGCCTCCTGGTGTGCCATCCGCCAGCAGCTGGGGACACCAGCTGGAAATGCCAGGGAGGTTGCACAGCCCGTGACCGACGGACACGCATCACTGTGAACTCTCCTGGCTGGCGGCCGAGCGCCGAAGCTCAGCCACGCCGGCAAGACCAACCCCGATGGAAACCCGGTCGCCGAGGCTCAGGTGAGTGTCCCTCGTCGGCTACACTTCCCGTCTTCCCCGGGCACTCATGGTCACGTCCCACGCCCTCGATGACATGATTGCTGGGAGAATTAGGGGCCGTCCTCGCAAGCCCACTGCGGGGGGACTGGAGGCTCTGGGCCGTGTCCTCCAGGATCGACATGGATAGACATTGTGGGGTCACCAGGCACTGCTAACTTCAGGGAAGTGTGGCTGGACGTGTGGCCACGCCGCCACGACCCCACACTCAGACTGTCCCCTCCTGCTCAACCTGTCACAGCTTCCGCCGTCCTCACCACGAGAGAGCAAAAGCAAGCTCCTGCTGCCATACAAGGCGGGCCCCTGGGAGGGGCTGCCGCGGCTGAGTAAACGGCAGGGAGGAATTGGCAGTGGACGCTGCTGCTGTCCACGTGCTTGGCCCAGGTCCGCGCCTACTCCTCTCTGTCCTGCTCCATGTCCCCGGAGGCCGCAGCCCCGGGGATCGGTCACCAGCTAACGCGCCTGCAGGCCTGCGCTTGAGCTGGACTGAGGCAGCTCCCGCGTCCCTCCCCGCCACTGCCGCCGTCACCTGGCTCTGGAGCAGACATGCGGTGGCACTGGCTCCCCACCGCGGTCTATCTCTGGCACTACGGCGTCTCAGATTAGTTCTCTCTGCCCACGGCTTTAAAGCAAGTCCCTTTTTAATAGTCTCTTGGGCCATCTGAGCGACATTTCATCCCCACTGGGGCCCTGACTGAGAGCCGACATCCCCCCGGAACAGCTAGAGACGTACTGGCTTGCCGGGCGGCCCTCTTCCTCCCGGACTGCCTGGTACCCCCTGAGAGAAGAAAGAAAGAAACCGTTAGCTGTGCTCAGCACACAACCCTGACCCGCTCTACCCACGCCTCCCCCTACCCGAGTCTGCCACGTGTTAACTCAGTGGGAAACATCAGCCAGCCGTGAAGACGGGCCCCGCCAAAAGCCGCGGTCTGATTTCAGCTGAATACTGAAGGCTCCCCAGGAAATGCCAACTGTACCAATGTTTAGAACAGTGAGTGACCCCTCCCGTAACTCCTATCCAAGACACGAAACTGAACACCACACACACACGCGTCCACACGCACGCGCAGGTGCACGCACACACACACACGCGCGCACACACGCACACACACCCCCATCTTAAACTCCCACCGTCCTTTTCCAAACGCAGCGGGAAGGACCAGCTTCGACAAGGAGGCGCCGCTCCTGTCGCACTGGCTGCAAGAGCCGGATGCACAGAGTGGAGCGGGGACATCTCAGCGTGTGGAACGGGACCCCAGGAGAGGACGGGAGGGTCACGCGCTGCGCCTGCTGACCGTGAACCGAAACTACGGAGATGGGCAGCTGCGAGCCTAACCAATAGAGGCCACCGCTCTGGGGCCAGACGTCTTTGCTCCAGGACTCACGGCTGCCACTTCCCGCCTGCTCCGGGAGTGGGAATCCAGCAAGCGCTACGGCCCCGGCTGCCGCTACGCATCCAGGAGCAGCAGACCCGCCTCCCTGTCTTCTTGGAGCTCAGGTCTACCCGAGCGAAAGCCGGATTGTGGAGATGAGTGGGAAGGGGTGAGTGAGGGATAATGAGCACCGGATACGTCTGTGGAAGGCCCCTGAAGGGAGAAAGCCATTCCAGGTTGGGGTCAGGAACAAGTCCACGGAGAGGGTGGGCCTCACTGAGCGGGACTGACCGAAAAACAGAAGCACTGAATGGGATAGCCGGGAGCTGGCGGGGTCCTCGACGTGTAACCCAAAAGCATAAAAAATAAAACCAGACCACGCAAAATTAGAGGCCACAATCACGGAAGAGCTAACACCTGAGAACGTTCATGCGCGGGGTTAGTGGAGGAAACAGGTCCTCGGGGGTTTCCTGGCCGAGGGAGGCCGGGCTTCCGGGGGGTCTGTAAGAACCTCGGCCGAGCCCGCACCGTCTCTCTTTACTTACATCGTGGCCAGCTGGTCCCTGGGGGCCGGGGAATCCAGGTAAGCCTCGCGATCCCTGAGGAAAGAGAAGAAGCCCCCAAAACAGTTTAAGCAAAATCAGGCCCCCGTTCCTCGGCGAGGGCTGTGTCTCCTGTATAAGCGTCTGTTGCTCTGAGGAGTCTGATATGGAGCGCGGTGCTCGCTGACTCATCTCACTATCCTCGTGGGGGTGGGCATGCACACGTGCACAGAGAACGTGCCGGACAACCTGCACGGTGAGCCTTGCTGCCCAGGCCCCATCCGCAGGGCCCTGTCGTGAGTGGAAAGGGACAGCTCCTGCAGGGACGCAGGCCTGAGCTCGAACCCTGGCTCACCCCCACTCCTGCGTCCCAGGGATAACCGGGCCTGGGGGCTACTGACCAGCTAAGCGAGTAAACCCGGGCTGACCCAGCACAGTGCCTGACCCCTCGGTGGCCGTTTTCCTTTTTCAAGAGAATCACTCCCATTCCGTTGAAAACTTCAGGACACTACCAGGAATTGGCACAGATCTCTCTCATAACGGCCCTCACTTCCTGTAGGAATTTTCTTTCAATAGATCTGCAGGTGGCAAAGGCTCTGTGTCTTGGCAGAATTCGCCGTGCGGCTGCTCAGGGGCTGACCCTGCCTCTCCCGGGGCCTTCGCGAACCTCCCCTTCACCCCGACCCCTCCACCAGGGTCTGCCTACACCACCTCTGCTCTCACGCCTATCAGCTGTCTGCTCTGAGCCTGTTTTCTCATCTACAAAATGGGTATAAAAATCTTCTCTTTAGTTCAGAAATCACATGAGTGAGCAGAATTAAACACATGCAACATGGCACAGGGGACGGTATCGCCAGCTGTCACCAGGCAGCTCCTGCACTGGGTGAGCTTACAGGAATTCACACTGTGCTGATGAATGGGCGCACGTGTTTATCAGCGGGGGCTGCCGCTGGGCCTGAGGGCTCGCCCATGGCGTCCCCCGCATTCAGTCCGTCAGCTCCAACCGGGTCCGCCTTACAGAGATCCGGCATTTGCTTGTGGTGATTGGGGGTGATAAGGCCAGGATTCAAAACTAGTACTTCTGGCAATGTGATAAATTCATGAAGCCATGGCTGTCCTTCCATGATGCGGAGATGCCACGAAGCAAAGCCAGTCTCGGCCTGGCCGATGACGACACAGGCGTGCTGGATCAGATGGCCCCCACCCCCTTCCCAGTGCGTCAGTCAACAGGTCAGCGCTGCATGTGGCAGCGTCCCACGCTGAACGCTAGGGATTTTCTGAAACAACTTTAGTTCCCGGCCACTCCAATTTAAAACCGATTTGATTAGGGCAGAATTTCTCCCGTCGAAACCCAGCCCTTTCAGTCATACTGTACCGGGGGTCCTTTATCTCCCGCGGGTCCAGCCGGGCCCTGAAGAACAAACGAGCAGAAGTAAGCAAAGTAGGAACAAAACATTCGCGTAAATGCGTTGAGGTGTTTATTTCTAAGCCAGGTCTTTCCTTCCTTCCTTCCTCCCTCCATCCCTCCCTCTCCCTTCCTCTCTCCTTTTTCTTTCTTTCTCTCTCTCACTCTCTCTCTCTCTCTCCTCTCTCTCTCTTCCTTTCCTTCCCTCCCTCCCTCCCTCTTTCCTTTCCTTTTGCCTTTTTCCTTTTCTTTCTTTCCTTTCCTTCTTTCTTTTCTTTCTTTTTCTTTCCTTCCTTTTTTTTTTTTTTTTTTTTTGAGTTTATTGAGCCAAACTGACGGGAAACAAGATCTCAAATGCTCTGCCCAAGCCAGGTTTCTAATTGTCCTCGGAGGAGCAGTGAACTTCCTCCCATCTTGAGCCGGACTGTGTCACCCTGTCGCCACCCACCCGCTGGCGTTACGCATGGAAATGCGCCTGGAACCTGCTCCATTTGCCCCTGAGCTGGTCCCGCCCCACCTTGGCATCTGCTTGGTTCCTGACACCTGGGTCCATCCCTAGTCTGTAGCTCTGGTGTGGGGTGGGCACCAGCACCCCAGCATCCTAGTGCTTTACCCACTTCCTACTCAGGTCAGGCTGGGGACACACTCAGGGCCAGACTCCCCAGCGTGGCCTGGATGGCTGAGGCCGCAGTGGTGCTTCTCCCCACTCCTATGAGGTTGTGTGCACTCGTACTCGTACACACACACACACACACACACACACACGGGTCTGCACTCCTACGAGTGTGTCCAGCCTAGGCACACTCGGGTCCGAGATACAGCCCCCCAGATGTGCTCCATGACCGGGGCATTCGTGCGGTTTTGGGCCCTGCAGGAAGCAACACCTTCCTTGTCCCCGAGCCTCTGCTCTGTGGTGCTTCCGTGTGCAAGGCTCCACCCTGCCTTCCTCCCTGGACACATTCTTGTCACATTCTGGTTGTTGAGATGTCACCGCCCATACACAGAAAGCCATCTGGCTTCTCCGGGATGCTTGTTAGAGATGGTGTTCTAGCTCCTCTGTGCACCCCATTCAGGACGTGACGCTTAGTGCGACCATTGCTTGTCGGCCACCTGTCCTCCCCGATGAATGGACCGCACGCTGCATGGGACGGGGCGCCAAGCTCCTCGCTCGGCAGTCTGCACGCGCAGCACGGCGCATGCACATGGACGGCCGAGCATAGCAAACGGCGCTGCATCGAATTTTAAATTTTAAAGTGCGAGGAGAACCTGGGGGTCATCTGTAATCACCCTTCCATTTCCCTGAGGGGCAAACTAGGGCCCGGAGGGAACAAGACACCTGCCCAAGCCACACCAGGGGCCACCAGCTGGCACCCCATTGCCCAGGAGCAGAGCCCGCCAGACCATCCTTAGACAGTCCCAACGGGGAGATGTCACACACATGCACAAGTTCTGGCAGAATGACACGCCAGGTAACCTAAATGCCTGCCCGTTAAATATGTCCCAGAACTGCCTGGTAAAACAGAATAAGCATCATTCTAAGTATAGAGCTGAGCACTAAAACAAGCATTGGGATCTCCGGAGGCCTGAAGCCAAGCAGGTAAATCAAGCAGGTAGAATGATGGCCTCAGAACTCCATGTGGGGTCCGTCCGACTCAGAAGTCACTGCTCCCTGCAGTATTCGCACTGCTTCCATCCAGGTGTGAGTCAACGGCACACGGGAACCGATGTCCACATATCTGAATGCTGCTCCTTGCAAAGACTGTCTATTCCTCAAGGAAAGGAACTCGGTTTCTTACTGGCCCGGGGAATGCTGCCAAATCATCTTAGAGTCAGTCGCCCTTTGTTCCCAAATTAACTTCCAGGACCCACAAAAAGCATTTAACACATTCATCAGTCTAAGTTCCAAATTCCTCTGTGATATCATTGGATTTTATTATCAAAAAGGCCTTCACTTCAAACCTTAGCTTTATCGATTATTAGCTGCTTCAGCCTGAGCCAGTCACTTAGTCTCTATGAGCTTCAGTTTCCTCGATGGAAGTACAAAGACAGAGGCCACCTTGCCTCGGGCCATCGGAAATAAAAGAAGACACTCAAAGTAGAGAAGCGGGCTGGTTCCTGGCCGCGAAAGGCATGCCCACAGCGATTGTTTGCTGACTTCTAGGAAAACATAAAAGTGTGTCGAGTCGCAAGGGTGAATCATGACTTCCTAGGGTCACGCCTAAATCTGACACCTACGCCTTTTCAACAATCACCACCCTCTTTTCCAAGATCACACCCGCAGACGTGTTTACTCAGGAGTCATCGTACCCTCACGTGCAGATTTTGATCTGATACCACTTTCCACTAAAAGGAACTACAACTCCTTGGAGAAGTGGCTGATTCTGGACAAGGACTGTGCACAGATCTAGAACGTCTTGTCATTCCAAAGAGCAGGAAGCCCTGGGGGATTGCTAGGCTGGTGTCAGGTTCTCAGGGTCGATGAGGACAGGCTCTTATGGGCATATGACAAGACGATCTGAGCATCGAAAGGAAGAAAATAACTGTGCTCTATTAAAACACATCCAATGTGTTTAAATTGACTTCAAAATTATACAAAACAAAAACATCTAGTCATCTTTATAAGTTGCTTGAAAGCCAAGTCACTACTTGAAAATAGTCAGAGGGAGAGACTGTCATGTCTATGACCTGCCTTCTGTGTGGCTTGTGCCACTGGGTGTCTCAACTGTAAGAGAGGGGCTATTTCTGCATGTAGAAGCATTCCAGCTAACACGTTAAAAACAAACAAACAAACAATAGAACAGGAATAGCACCAGCTGCCTCTCTTGATGTGCGAATTGATCTAAGCATCAGACATCAAAGACCAGGAGCATCACAGGGGAGATCAGCAGTCATCACGTGTCCCCCGATGGAGGCACACGGTACCTGTGAAGTCTCGCCAGAAACTTCCAACCTGAGCTGATGGGGCCTCTAGGCCCACGTACCGGTCTACAGGACACAGGACACAGTGGCGTGTAAATTATTAAACTAGTCCACTCCGGACTGTGGAAAGCTTCGTGAGACCAAAACATCATCTTGTTTCATCAGTTAAAAAACTGCAAAATGAAAAAAATAAAGAATGAAGGGAAAATCTATAGAGAAAAAAAAAAACCGATTGCGGTGTATTTTGGTTGGATCTTGATTTGAACACAAGGAAACTACAGAAGCTTGACGTTTATGGGGAAAATGGGAACTTGAACGTCGACTGGCTGTGTGATGGTCTCACAGAATTATTCCGGGAGGGATATGATGATGACATTGTGGTTACGTTAAAAAAACCCTTATCTTTTAGAAATATATGCTGAAACGTTTATAGATAAAGGGCTGTATGCCTAGGGCTGTCTTCAAAACAACGAAGGGCAGTAGAGGACGAGAAGGAAGCAGTGGCCACTGAACAGGCATCTGGGTGGCTGGAGCTGAGTGTGGCCTCCAGGGTCCACTTCACAGTTCTGTCAACTTTTGGTGTATCTGAAATTCTCCGTGATAAACACATACCATGTTATATGTTCGTAACATGTATATCATATACACGATGCTCACACGCATGTACCACACGTACACGTACATACACACACGCACCGCGCGCACAGGCACGGTGATGCTTCTGCTATTTGCTGATAATTCAGTTAGTGAAAACTTACAAAGCTGAAAGCCCCAGGGGTTTCGAATGCGCTAAACGTTCTTCTTTCTCTGCTATGATACTCGGCTGAAAATTGTTTCCCTCCTTTGAGGCCCACCACCCCTGGTCGCCCCTTCTACAGAACAGCTCTCGACCCACCACGGAGTGCCCGGGGCTGCCTGTGGCGGCGCGCCCCCAGCGCCCACAGCGGAACACACTCACTGACACAGCTCCCTCGGGCCCCTTCCTTCCCCTCACACTGCCGCCCCCAAGGGATGACATCCGAGAGCATTTCCCAAACAAGCTTGCCCTTGAATCCTGTCCTCAGATGCTCTGCCTAATCCCAGCCCCCAGTGACGAGCTGACCCTCGCAGGGCTGAAGGAGGGGATGTGGGCCCTGAAGACCGCCCTGCAGACCACCCGGCAGATGGCAGCGTTCCGACAAGGGGGCAACCACATCCCTGACAAACCCACAGTCCGTGGTCACCCCGCCTTCACACACCTCCCCTCGCACACCCCCGAACCCTCCGCTCAGACCCCCAGCCCACTCTGAGCCTATGCCGGAGGCCACAGACACGGTTTATGAAAATTCAATAAGGTTTCCTCTACCACGGAAGCTTTTAATAAGTCAGGGTGAAGGAAGGACACCAGACCGCTGATGGACAGCCTCTTGGCTGGAATCTGCCAATTACTCCTCAGGTGGAGCCGCACAGGCGGGCGGGCGCGCCGTGGGCGAAGTTAGCCGGCCCCGATGGGAGCAGCGGGGCGACCTGTACCCACCTCTGCCACCTGGCTCTCCGACTCAGGGCCGAGCCGGTGAACCCTTAGGGACTTTCACTTACAGTCGGCCCTCTATTCTGGGGGGGTAATTCCGGCTTCGGAACACTACTCCAGCAGCCCTGGAAAAGGGCGGGGTGGGGAGAGACGTGGTACAGGGGGCAGAATCGGAAGCACTGGAAGGAAGATACAGTCCGTGGCCCTGCTCTCTACGGAAAGGCATTTCTAATAAATGTCTATTCTCCAAACAAATAACTGGCTAAATTTCAAATCTGGATGGACTAGCTTGGGAAGCGGTGTGTCTTCTATTTCTAGACGAGGGCAGGTGGGGGCCACAGATACTGACAGCGACCTTCAACTTGGATGGGGCCTGGATGTCACTGATCCTCACAAGCCTCACAGCTCGAAGGCTTCACGACTGCTCAAGTCATAAACTGACCTCCAGCAGACTGGTGCAAACTATTCCTCAAAACTACCAATCTGCAGACCGCTTCCTAGATTTTACTCTGGAGACTGTATTCAAACCTTCCTCGAGTCCACTTTGTTCCCACCTGTATACTAATGGGGGTGGGGAGGGGCACAATGAACTCGTTTTGCCTGGAATACATGAAAGCCTGCCATTTCTCCAAGTCATATCACCTTCCCGACCAAGTCACCGTCACTGGCTACAACTCAGTTTGTGCTAAGGTTGTCCAGAACTTTTGTTTAAGTGAGACAGTCTTAGTCTCCCCAAAAGCCTCACCCTCATAAGAAATACACCCGGCTTTAGTAACCCTGTCGGCCACGGTGGACAGACCCGGGGGCCGGCGACCCAGCCCCACGTTAGCTGGGGAAGGGAGTTTCTGCGCTTAGGCCCAGGGCACACGTGGGCCAGCAGGGACTGCTGTGTGGCCCCAGAGCAAGGGCATGCTGCATGAGTGAGGACTCACCGGAGGGCCAGGAGGGCCAGCAGCCCCGGTGCCCGGGTCTCCGCGGGTGCCAGGTAAGCCAGGGACCCCAGGTGCGCCTCGGTCCCCCTAGAGAGAGGAAGAAGGAGACAGAGGTCAGTTCTGGGATGGAGGGAGCCACGGTTCAGAAGAGATTATGCTCTTCCAATCCCAATGTCACTCTCCGCCAGGCTCTCCACCACCTGGACTCTGTGCCCACCACCCGCCCAGTCCAACACCCGCCAACCACGGCCACCAGCTGTGATCATGCGCCTTTCAAGGCTGACCATGCCCAGCCCTGACCATGGCTCCAAATGTGACTACAACAGTACAACTCTCCATGTGACTCTGGGTGCTCCTCCAGAAGTCATCATGCCCCCGTCCTGAGCACACCCCAGATTACCCGGTACCCATATTTCAACTCAGTTCCCAAATCACCAGTCAATTAATTTGTCACTTGACCGACAATTTGTTAAGTACCTATATTTCGTGGGTCACTTTTCCAGGGACAGGGAGAGGCGATGATGACTGAGATACAGCCTTCGCCTTTAAGCACAGTGGGTTTAAGTTATGCCTTCGACACTGATTAACTGTTGACTTAAAAAGCAACAATTCCCTGAGCTTTAGTTCTTTACTTACAAAGAATACGTAATAATAGGGCTGCCACATCGGCGGATGTGACGCTCCTTAAAGGAGAGGATGCCTACCCAGTGCCTGGCATGGCACTTAACCTCAACGCGAGCTAGCTGCTGAGGTCACTGCTGTCTCATGTAGTTGTCACTCTGGACTTTGATGGGCAGAGAAAAAGGGGAAAGAAAGGGAAAAAGGGAAGAAATTCTGTTTGCCGTTTCCTGTAGAGAGAAGCTGAGACAGAATCATACCTTCTTGTCCACAATTTCAAAATCCTCAGCCTCTGAAAACAAGTGCTTATTACAGCTCCACTGGCAGAAAAGCCTGGCTTGCACTGACACAGGCTATTTACAGGCTGTAGTTATCCTGTTTGTTTGGGTTTTTTAATGGAAATCTACACGGTTCTGTTGCATCAATATTAACGAGTTTGATTAGGGATGCTGCCCGACACACCACAGTAAATGTTATGTAGTTTGCAAATTACTACCTTCCTAAATTCCAGAAGAAATTCAATCCAGAAACACACATGGCCCCGACCGTTTTGTGTGCGAGACTGTGTACATATGTTAGAGGCGCTGAAATGCAGCCAAGCCCAACACTGAAATGGCAGGTGACCTTGTTCCAGCCACTTCACGTCTCTGGGATGAGTTAACTGGTATGACAGATGGAAAGAGCCCGAGAAGGTCGTGGACACAGGGGTGCGTATGTCTTTTCAAATTAGTGTTTTGGTTTTCGTGGCAGGTGACCTTGTTCCAGCCACTTCATGTCTCTGGGACGAGTTAACTGGTATGACAGATGGAAAGAGTCCGAGAGGGTTATGGACATAGGGGTGCGTATGTCTTTTCAAATTAGTATTTTGGTTTTCTTCAGATAAATACCCAGCAGTGGAATTGCTGGGTCATACGGTAGGGTAGTTTTGTTTTTAATTTTTTTGAGGAACCTCCAAACTGTTCTCCGTAGTGGCTGTGCTCATTTGCAATCCCAACAGCAGGGCATGAGGGTTCCCTTTTCTCCACATCCTTGTCCGTACTTGTCGTTTGTGAACTTATTGATGACAGCCATTCTAACAAACGATTGATGACTGGGTAAAGAAGCGGTACATACACACTCAGCCATAAAAAAGAACGAAATTGTACCATTTGCGACAACACGGATGAACCGAGAGGGTATTACGCTAAGTGAAATGAGTCAGACAGAAAGACAAATGCCACAGGATCCCACTTACATGCGAAATCTAAAGAAAAACATAGAGCGGAAACGGACTCATAGACACAGGGGAGAAGCTGATGGCTGCCGGATGGGAGTGGGGTCAGGTGAAAAGGGGACGGGGCATGAGAAGCACAAAGCAGCAGTTATGAAACAATCCTGGAGGCGTAAGTGCAGCAGAGGGAGCACAGTCGATGGTACGGGAGCCACTACACAGAGCACAAGGCGGGCGCTGGACGAACCAGCGAGATCGCTCCGCAAATCACACAAACGTCTAACCACCGCGATGCCTCCCCGAAACTGACATAAAATAATGCTGACTGTCAACTGCAACTGAAAAATAAATATTAAAAAAAAAAAAGAAGATTGTTACGAGGAGCCAATGAGACAGCGTGCAGCGAACTGATTTCAGGTAGACTCTGACATTGCTAGGCAAAACACTGCTTTATTGAATTTTACGTCCTTAATAATCAGTTTATCCTCCAGGCCCACAGGGGTCCATGCCTCCCGAGGGCCACCCTGGCCTCTGTCAACAGCGCCCTCCCGAAATTCTCTTCCAAGTCCCAGACGGTGTCCTCTGTCTCTTTAGAATAACACGGGATGAGCGATTCTGGGAAACATGAGAAGCTTCGGACTGCTGGGAAATCTCATTCGTGTGCGTGATGAGGGTGGGGAGGAAGGCAGTGCAGAAACAGGCGCATGTGAAGAAAAGTGTAATGAACTACGAACGAATATGGCCCGCGTCACGTACCTTATAAACTCATTTCAAAGGTAAGAGACAAGGGAACATCGAGTGTGACAGGCATAGCATCGTTTGTCAGAGGAAGCAGAAGACAGAACACATGTTAAACACACAAACGCGTCATCGCAATCCATGTCTCCTTGCATCTCAGTTCCTCTTTAAAACATTTAGTGTACATTTTCTCATTCTGTTTTCCAGATTAGCTTGCCTCTGCTCCTCTCCCCGAGGCTGTCGCATGTGCACTGGGAAGCCCTGGCTCCTGCACGCTAAGCCACTCCGATGACTGGATTCGTATTCCTCCAGCTCTCTCTAACACCTCCGCTTCTGGCAGACGCCGTGCCCTTGCGGGGGGTTCTTCCATCCGCGTCCTAAGCTTCCAGATGCCTGCCCGTCATTAAAACTTAGCCCGGTTATTCCGTTTCCATAAACCTCTGCCGGCCCTGCTCTGTTCTCCTGCTGGCATGTGGCACATCGGCATTAATCTTAGCACACTGCCCTCCCTTTTGTTTGTCTGACCCCCTGACTTCGACGTAAGTGTCCTAAAAGTAGAAAGCATCCATTTACTCATTTATCCATTCATTCAGCAAGTACTTGTTGAGCACCCGAAATGAGTCAGACCCTGTATTGGGTACACTATCTATACACTTCGGCATTCATGGTGCCCAGTGTGGGGCCTGGCACCGGTGGCCTTTAAGAGAAATAACCTGAATGCCAGAATGAACGAATCCAGCACCACTCACATTTCGTCCGGTACTAAATTCTCCCTCTAACCAAAACCAACTTTTTACGGAGGAGGGAATGTGACAGAAAGGCCTCTCCCAGCCCAGCCTGGACTCTGAGTCACTCGCTGAGTGTTTGCTGCAGGGTGGCCAGGCCTGGCTCCACCTGTATGTTTATGGCCCACCGTGACACTAACGTTTTCCCCGAGCGACTACACTTTATAGCTTAATGGACTGAAAAGGTTAGGAAGTGGCCCCAAGAAAAGAGCACGAGACCTTAATGCTGTGTCGGCAAAGGCCGAAAGGCTCACGATTAAGAAGAAAGGGGCCGAGGAGTCAGAGTCTGTAATCCCGACTGCAGTGCCTGCTCTGGCTGCAAGCAGCCCACGCCAGTTCACTGTGTCGGGGAATAAACACGCGAGGAAGGAGGGTGGCATTTACTGAGCGACACCTATGTGCCATCGGATCCTTTCTCTCTACAGCAGCCCTTTGCGAGTTTACTGAAAAGGAATAGCATCTCAGGAAGCATAAGCCACTTGCCTTTAAGTCAGCTATCTTGTAGGCAGCTGAGCTAGGAACATAACACAGTCCTGTATGAAAGCAAAGCCTGTTTATTTTGCTAGACATAAAAGAAAGAAGGCATCTTTGAGAGTCTTCCCGCAGTCATAGTCATTAGGATGGGCTAAGAGGGTGCCCATGGAACCCTTTATTAAGGACAGCTCTCTTCCTTAATCCCCACAGGTGCTTTCAAGTCAGCACCAGGGACAGCACCAGGGCCAGGCGCACAGCAGGCGCTGTCTGGGGTCTGCGTCCATCTCTCCCTTCCTTTTCCTCCCTTGTGCCTCCCCGACCGCCTCTCCCTCCACTAAAGACCTCTCTGAATTCCAACCTACCTTCCCATAGCCAATTGACTATGGAAACCTTTACTTCCAAACCACATTCTAACTTACAAACGAAATGGCCATCTGTTCACACATCTCACGTTTTAAATGGGAGGGAGTATTCGGCCAAAGAAAGAGCATGACTCACCTGGGTCCCCTGGAATGAAACTGGCTGGTCAGCTGGAGCCTGGGTCAAGGCTGTCCTCGCTCCCCCACCCAGGCTCTGGCCTGCCTCTCCATTCTGCGGTGCCGCCTCCACCCACCCACCGTCACTGTGTTAGCTGCCTGAAATGCGGGGACCATCTCCCGCCAGTTAGACGAATAACGCAAGGCTGCCGAGAGCGAGCTCTGCTGGCTCCGAGTCTCTTTTGCGACTTCGTTTAATCAGCGAATGTCTGTAAAGTCCACCTGTGTGGCGAGGACTTCGTGGAGCCTCTAGCCAAGAGGGATATGACACACGGACGAACGTGGAAGTGGGCGAGGTGACCAGGGGGCTTAAGGACAATTTCCCAAGGTCTCCTTCTGAGTGCAACCCGCGGCACCCACGCTTTGCTTGGATAAACACCTACCTTGATTCCAAGAGGTCCAGGTAAGCCAGGTGGCCCACGGAGTCCCTGGGGAGATGAAGAACACAGGGATGATCATGGAACCACGAGTCTGTGTGCCCCGTGTTGTTGTGGGGACACAGATACATGGGCGTCTCCCTATGACCCTGTGTGAAGGAAGCCTGTTTGGGGGGCCACGAGGCCCTAGGGTGTAAATCCTCACTCTGCCACCCACTGCCTCTGTGTGGCCTTCAGCAAATCCCTGTCCCTCCTCCTTCGCTTGCCCACTTGCCCACCTGAGACCCATGTCACAGGCTCCCGCAGGAGGGCGCGGCCGTGTCTCCGGACAGGCCTCACCCGCCTCCAACACACAGTCGCTGCCTCGCTCACCGGGCTGTCAAGGCCTTGCGCTTTCGTCGGCTCTGACTCGTCTTCTGCAAAGTTTGGCCAGCGAGTCTTTTTTCTTTCCCCTTTTCTAACTCTGGCCTGGCTGTCATAGGTACAGAAACCCCCAGACCTGACACATACCGGCTCTCCGTCCTTCCCCGCTCCGGGGGTCCCGGGTGCACCAGGATCACCTCTGGGGCCGGCTGGCCCTGGGCTCCCCTCTTCGCCCTGGAAAGAAAAGTGGATGGTTTCTGGGATCGAGCACGTGCAGAGGGTCAGCTTTCCAATGTGAACCAGCCTGCAGGGCGTTGGCAGGCATCCTGGCGATGGATGTCCCGTTTCAGAGTGTCACCCCTTCAGAGGGCCCAGAAAGATGGACTATGTGGCGTGTATAACAGGTTGGGCTGTGCCCCCCAAATTCCTGTGCTGAAGTCCTCACCCCAATAGCTCTATTTAGAAACAGGCTCTTTGCTGATGTAATTAAGTTAGGTTAGCTGAGGTCACACCAGAGCAGAGTGGCCCCTGATCCCATATGAACCGGTGGCCTCGTAAGAAGGGGAAGTTTGGCACAGACGTGCACCGAGGAAAGGCTACATGAGAACACGGGGAGAGACAGCCGTTAACCAGCCAAGGAGAGAGGCCAGGGAGCGACCCTCACGGCTCTCGGGAAGTCGGCCCCGCTGGCGCCTGATCCGGGACTCTCGGACATGGCAAGGAGAGCGGGCAGCACGCTTCTGCTGTTTAAAGCCCCAGTCTGTGACCCTCCGTTAGGGCGACCTTAGCAAATGAATACAACGGGGACGTGGCAATGGAAAGGACGCTAGTGGTTTGCCAGTCCATCCTCCCACTGAAGGCAGGACACCGAACAATGTGCCTCTTACAGGCAGTCCTCCTTGTCTGCTTGACCTCCCTCGAGGGCAGAGCTCGCACCTCTCCAAGGCTGGTCCCTCCTTTCCTGGGCGGCCCCACCCCAAAGTGCTGCTTTACGTTCAGCTGACATGGCCTTCTTTGAAACCTGCCACACACTTGCCCCCCAAACCTGTGCTGCTCTGCAGACAAAATCTAATCCTCTTGACGTGACAGGCCTTCCGTAATAAAAACACAGCTCGAGGCTCCAGAGTGGAGAGGGAGAGGGACAGAGACAGACAGAGAGAGGAGAGACAGAGAGACAGACAGAGACCGACCAGTGCGTGCTTGCCGGGACCCGCTGAGGCAGCTGGGCTTCCTGCCCACCCCGGCCAGGGCTCGCGTGTTTGACCACAAAGCCACGCACCCGTGGGGCGGCCCTGGCTGTGGGCACCGGGTGGAACCACATGTGCCACAAGGACTGCCTTTCCCAGTCACCGTTCCCTTGGTCCTAAGCGGCCACCTGGGTGTGTCCAACAGTCCCTGGCCCAACTGACGTGAGGTGAGAGGCACCAAGGATGGGCGGGGCGAGGGGCGGGGGCCTCTCCAAGCCCAGGGCGGGGTCTGCTTCCCCAAGCCGCAGGCCAGCCCCTGGACGCGGGAGAGCGAGCCGTGCTGGCAGGGGTCTGTGCCACTGCGGGCACTCACTCCCTCCAGCATCGCCCTGGCCCTCGGCCTGCACTGCGCTCGGCCAAGGAGAGGTGTCTGGCTCCCCCTAGGGGCTGATGTGCCAACAGCACACTGATTTGCTTGTCTGCTCCTGTCCTCAGAAAACCCCTAATTTCTCAGTCACCCCTTCTGGGGTGTCAGCGCCCTACTGATACATGTCCAGATCAAGCCCAACCTTCAGACCGTGTAGCATAATCGAGGCAGAGCCGATGGGCCAGGGTTTTCCTCCCTCGCTTAATCTGGGTCCTCTACTGCCCTGACTGCCGTCTAAGATGGTATTTTTTTTTCTTTCAAAAAAGAAAAAGAAAAAAATAGTACCTGCATCACTTAAAGGATTGATCATTTTATCTTTTCTGTGGCAGCAAAATTTAACAATAGATGTAAACGTCTGCATGCTGGCGGGAAGGCACAATTTTAAAATACTTATGTCAGTAAATGGTTACTTGAGGAGGAAAATGATCGGCCAGCCTGCGGGAAACAGGCTGGGGTCTGAGTGGTGGCTGACTGCAAGCTCAGTAGCAACTCTTAATTCTCGCAACCTGTGTGACCAGCATGTCATCGTCCCCACTTGACGTATGAGAAACCCCAGGTGCACAGAGGGCGCCTGCGACCACGGTTTCTCGTCCTTGGAACGATGACATTCGGGCGGCTCATCCGTGCTGCGGGGGGAGGGGCGCTGCCCTGCGACTCTGAGGTTTTCAGCAGAGTCCCTGGCCTGCCCCGCCAAATGCCAGGATGGCAGCACTCCGTCACCAGCAGACGTCGGGGACACTTCCTAAAATGCGAGGTCGGAGAAACTGAAATGGGATTTCAAAAGCCTGTGGCTTCTCCTCTGCCCCAGGGTGCTGGCGTTCAGGGGGACACCATGTCTCTCTTCTTCCTCATAAGTTAGGTTCTTCCCCACAGCTTGGGAAACTCTAAGCACGTGCTCGCAGGTGCGGGATGGTCATGTGGGAGCACTGAGCAGGGGACACGGGACCTGGCGTCAGACAGGCCCGGCTCTGCAGCCCCCGGGCTATGAGATGGAGGGCAAGTCAATTCACCTCAGAACCTCGGTCTCCACACGTCAGCGGGGACCCATCGGCGTGACGGGGCTGCCGTGAGGCACGTGGGATGGTTGCAGGGCCCCCTCGCCCCCTTCCCCTCAGACAGCCCCCTGCCCGAGCAGCCCGGCTCCTCCGTCCTTGCTGCTCAGAAGCTGAGACCACATGCTGCGTGTCAAGAGGTCGCGCTGTGCCTTCCTTACCTTCTCGCCGCGCTCCCCATCTTTCCCAGGGGGGCCTCTGACGCCAGGGAGGCCCTGGAGAAGAAAAGGTCATTGATAGGGTCAAAATCAAGACGGCTTGTGGCCCCCAGAGAAAGGTGACCAGGTCAGCGACTACAGCTCTGTCCCTACGCGTCCCCTCCCCGAGGCCTCTCCGCTGTCCCCTCCCTGCTCTGCTCTAGGTCCCTGCACACCAGAGCTCTCAACACGCAGGCATGGGCTGCCTGACGCTCCGCCCACCCCCCACCCCCGGGCTGCAACTCTGAGCGCTTGGCTTGGAGGGGACACTGGGGAGGATGAGGACGGCCTGAGAACACAGGCTCGGCATAGAGACCTGCTCCGCCTGCGTCTGCAGTCACCAGAGGTGGCTTGGAGACGAGCCGTAGTGCACGTGTTCCAGAGACACGCGAGGAGGGAGGTGAGGGAGGTGAGGAAGGGGAGGACGGCAGGTGGTCTGTGACACGGGTCCGTCCTGCAGGGACTCTGGGAGCCAGCGAGGACGCACCCTCAGAACAGCGCCAGCAGGTGAGGAGCTGGCATTTCTACATCCCTCAGTCTAGGCTGCTTCTGGTGGACCCACCGGCCACGTGTCACACGGCTGGACATTGTGGCCTCTAAAGGCCAGAGAATCCGCCAGGGCCAGGAACGCTGGCCCCTGCAAGTCAGTGGCAGGCACTGAGGAGGGATGGCAACACGACACAGGCAACATGGCACAGCGTCCACAGCAACCGCTAATGACACGACGCAGCCTCTCCGTGCCTCGGTTTCCCCGTGTAAAGCAGGGGCGGCGATAGCGCCCACCTCCCAGGGCTTTGAGGATTAAACGGGGCAACACGCGCAAAGCGCTCAGCAAGGGTCCGGCACGCTTGCTGCCCGGTATCTGCCCTTCAACTCACTACGAGTGTCATCTGTAAGGGTGACAACCGGCCGGGGCTCACCTCCGTCTCCTTTAGGAGCATGGTGCTCTGTTGCCCTTGACTAGATGCCACTGGCCCTTACTGCACAACGTCAAGTTGAAATCAGCATCTACGGCGGCCTTAGAGCTCGCACAGGGAGGCAGAGCCTTGGCGTGTCCACACTGCCCGCCCCTCCCCTCCGAAGGTGAAAAGCCCAGGCCTCAACCGCACAGCCAGCTGCGGGCAGAGCTGTGACTCAAGTCCGGCACCCCAGTGGTCGGGCCCCCCCCCCAACTTCTTCAGGTTCATTTGCGTCTTCTAAGGCAAACTCGGATGCTGACTCCAACATCAGTGACCTTCACAGACTTTGTGCAGTTACAACCCCTTCATTTACCACCAGGAGATCTGGGGAGCCACCTAGAGCCTCAGGTTGCTACTTTTTTAGGTGACCTTTGTTGGAACATCAATTTCTCCATCTGTAAGACGGGAGTGAGGATGCCTACACGCCTGCCTTTCAGGGGGACAAAAAAGCTAATGCGGTGGGCACGCACTGTAGATCCACAAGTGTTGGTGCCCCTGCCCCCACGCCACCCCCAGACTACTCACCACACTTCCTGGGGAACCGCTGGCACCGGGGGGGCCGACAGGTCCAGGAGCGCCCTATTCGGAGGCAGCAGGCGTTTAGAGAGGCCCGTGGTACTGACCGCACACCCCGGCCTCTCTCGAACCTGCCTTCCGCTCCCCTCCCCGTGACTTGCAGGAGATGAGAACCTCCTCTCACTCGAGTGCCGCAGCGCCCCAACCAGCCAAGCCTCTAAGGAGCGGGATCCGGCACAGAGGCGGGGGGCAGGAGGGCAGAGGGGCTCTGGGAGGTTCCTTAGGGGGCAGAGGTGGCAGAGGCCAGGGTGTGAGCGCGCGTGCGTACGCATGCATGCCTGCGTGTCTGTATCGTGGCTTTGACTATGGAATCAGGGAAGACTTCCTGCAAGAAGTGGATGTGAACTTGACACTGATGGCTGGGCAAAGGTTCTATGGGCGGAGGTGTGGTGAGGATTTTCCAGGTGGGTCGACTCTCAGAGTCCTGGCGGCCACGCGTTCCTCACGCTTCTTCCAGGCCTCCCTGCCTGTGCTGGACCTCCACGCCCCTCCAGGCTGCATTGGCCCAGGGCTGTGCCCACTAACAGGAAGGAGCCTGCCATCTGCCCCCTTCTCTGTGACTGCCCTGGGCTGACCCTGTTCCCACTCAGCCATGGGCATGGCCGGCCTGGTCATGCAAGCGCATTCCAGCCAGGAGCAAGTGGACACTGCCTGCTGCTGCCCCTCTAACCAGCACCCCGCTCCAGGAGGCCGAGGGAGGTGGCCATGAGACAGAGCTCCAGTCAGCCCTCGGGACAAGGACCAGCCCTGCTGAGGCTCTGGGTGTGAGGCGGCAGACAGCAGCAGCACAAGCGCGCCTGGGGGCGTGTGAGTGACGGGACGTGTCTGTGTGTCCTCCTGGCTGTATCTGCGTGCTGGGAGTGCACACATGTGTATCTCTACAACGCGTGCGTGTGCGTGTGTGTGTGTGTGTGTGTGTGTGTGTGTGTGTGTGTGTGATATACACATGAGCGTACTTCTTGGAGCCACAACCCGTGTGAGAGCGGGCATCTGTGTGGGGTGTGTATCGCCGTGTGTGCGGAAGGGGCGTGGGCATGTGGGCGAGGCCCTGCCAGGCTCAGTCTGGTCTCTGAAAGGGACCTCTCCGTCTTTGGGGCTCAAAGGGCCCCCAGCACTCGCCAGCCACTCAAGTGTGGGCTGCACCTTCTCAGCCCCTTCCCCCATCAGCCCAGAGCTGTGAGCCAAGGATCCCCTCCCGTTCTTTGGGGCAACTCCCCCCAGAAGGCGAGCAGGAAAGAACTCACAGGGTTTCCAGCTGCGCCGGGCGCTCCCTGTGCACCTTCTTGTCCCTTGGGACCCTGCACGGAAAATGAAAGACAGAGGTGATGCCGTCCTCGTCCCCATGCAAGGTGCCTTGGGGACACCTTGCTCATCGGAACGGGTTGATCCGAACTGAGAGCACAGGGAGCAGGGACTGCAGGTGCGGAAGTCACACCTTCTGGCCACCCACTGCTGCCTGGCATCCTACTCCACCTTCGCCACCCCCAGGACAGAGAGGGCGCTGCAGAGGAACTGCCCCGGGAACCTGAACCCCTGTCTAAGGGGGAGCTGGCTAAGAAGCCGAAACTGAGAAAAACAGCAAAATCGAAATGCACACTGGGTGCCGTTTAGACCAGAGCTGCCGTCAGGGCCAGGCGCGGGGAGGGGGTTCCGCATCTGAGAAGGCTCAGGGTGCCCAGACCCGCCCCGCACCCCCACCGCTGTGGGGCTGCAGGGAGTGGAGAAGGCAGAGAGAGGTGGGCACTGAGTTCTCCTAAACTGACGGCGAGGGGTCCAGAGGCGGGGCCCTGGGCTGCACTCAGGGTACTTTGGGAGGGCCTCTGTGCCCCTGGGTGCTGGGGTGACCTCAGGCAGGACCGGGGCAGCACCCGTGAGGGGCAGAGGAACTGGCGGGCATTTCCGGGTCTAGGGACCACAGGTGCAGGCAGGGTTTTCTTACCGGCAGTCCCGGGGCTCCAGGAGGCCCCAGGTCTCCAGGACGGCCCTGTGACCCCTGCAATGAGACAAGCCATTGGTAAACGGGGCCATCGCCCTCACCCCGAGGAGACGGGGTGGGGGTGGACGCACGCCTGGGTATAAGTTGGGATCCACGGCTGAGGGTACATCTGGGAGCCCCGAGGGAGGAAGGGGCTGCATTTGGTTCAGTGGGCTCTTGTGGGTGGGCGATGCAGCTCGGGCTGGCAACTGCTGGGCCCTCGGAAATCCCGTCCCGGTAACCAGCGACGTAGGGTGCGGGGCATGGGGCACTCACCGGTTCCCCGGGCAGGCCACGGTCACCCTGCTCTCCCTTTGGACCTTGCTCCCCCTGTTGGTGGAGAAGCAGAGTGTAGCAGAAGTGCCCGCCCGCCTGCCCGCCCACAGACCCGTCCCGCCCACAGACCCCTCCCACCCACAGACCCGCCCACAGACCCCTCCCGCCCCCACCCACGGCTGTGCGCTCCGGAGGAGCATCCCTC